AGATGTACACTCTTCCCACGTACGCTTTCGACTCCAAGAAGTACTGGTTGGACTACCACAACAACTGGACTCTTACCAAGGGCGAAGTTCTTGAGGCTCCCACCTCTGTCAAGGCTATCGAGGCCGCGCCCGCTGTTGAGGCAGCTTCTAAGTTGTCCACTACATCTTGCCACAAGATCGTCCGCGAGAACCTCCAGGCCAACTCTGGTACTGTTGTCGTCCAGTCGGATCTCTCCGATCCCAAGTTGAAGGCCACCATCACCGGCCACCAGGTCAACGGCACTCCTCTCACGCCATCGTCACTGTACGCTGACCAGGCCATGACCGTTGCGGACTACCTCTACCAGCAGCTACGTCCTGGTATGACTACTCCAGGTCTGAATGTCTGCTCCATGGAGGTGACCAAGACTCTCATTCCTCAGTATCCTCCCCCAGCCAGCGGTCAGCACTTGCAGATCGAGGGTAACGCGGACCTGGAGACTGATGAAGTCAAGATCACCTTCCGCACTGTCTCTGCCGATGGCTCCAATGTTCTCGCTGAGCACGCTGTTGGTATCGTCAAGTACGAGGACATCAACGCCTGGAAGGAAGAGTGGGGTCGCATCCAGTACATGGTGCAGGCTCAAATCAACAGCCTCGAGCAGAAGCTTCAGACCGGTGCTGCCCACAAGGTTCTCCGTGGAATGGCTTACAAGCTCTTCAAGGCTTTGGTGACCTACGCCGATAACTACCGTGGTATGGAGGAAGTCATCCTTGATGGTAAGGAGACTGAGGCTACGGCTCAGGTCCAGTTCCAGACAACAGCTGCCGATGGTGAGTTCTTGTGCTCACCTTACTGGATCGACTCTCTTGCCCATCTCTCCGGTTTCATCGTCAATGCTTCTGATCACCTCGACTCCGAGAACTCGGTCTACATTTCTCACGGATGGGGATCGATCAAGATTGCTGGAAAGCTTTCGCCCGAGAAGAAGTACCGCTCCTACGTTCGCATGCAGCCCGCTCCCGGCAACATCTCCGTTGGTGATGTTTACATCATGGACGGCGCTGAGATCATCGGTATGGTCATGGGCCTCAAATTCCAGAACATCCCTCGCCGCGCTCTCAACATCATGATGCCTCCTTCTGGCAAGGCTGTTGCTCCCCCCGCTGGTAAGGCTCCTGCTAAGGCTGCCCCCAAGGCGCTGCCGTCTGCTGCACCTGTCAAGACCAAGGCCGCCGCCACCAAGGCAGCGAAGCCAGTCGTGAAGCCTGCTAAGGTCGCGAAGCCTGTCAAGGCAGCTGCTCCTGCTGGCGTCACTTCCAAGGTCATGAAGATCGTTGCTGAGGAGATTGACGTTGACATGTCTGAGCTTGTCGATGAGGCCGCTTTCGAGAACCTTGGTGTCGACTCACTCTTGTCTCTCACCATCTCGGCCAGGTTCCGTGAGGACCTCGACATGGATATTCCTTCCACCCTTTTCACCGATTGCACTACCGTAGGAGAGTTGAAGAAGCACTTCTCGCAGTTCGATGGGGCCGTGGTCGTTGAGGATGACTCTTCAGAATCTTCCGACGATTCGTCTCCCTTTGAAGAGGTCGCTGATGAGAACGACGATACCCCTGCTAGCTCCACTGGCAGCGATGATGAGGATGAAGAGGTCAAGCCCTCCGCTGCTCCCACTGAGGGTGGTGCCAGTCTCGCACGCAAGCTTGTCGCCGAAGAGATGGGTGTTGATGTTTCCGAGATAACCGACGACCTCGACCTTACTGACATCGGCATGGACTCCTTGATGAGTCTTACCATCCTTGGTTCCATGCGTGAGGCTACTGGTCGCGATCTGCCTGCTGATTTTCTCACCGTCAATGTCACCATCAAGGACATCGAGACTGCTCTTGATATGCGCCCCAAGCCGCAGCAGCAGGCGAAAGCCACGAAGCCCGCTGCTAAGGTTTCGGCCCAGCCTCCTCAACTCTCTGAGGTAAACAAGAAGCTCGCATCCCTTCCCGACGTCTCTCACCTCCCTCCCGCCACTTCCGTACTCCTTCAGGGTAACCCCAAGATCGCCACCAAGAAGTTCTTCCTGGTTCCCGATGGTTCTGGCAGTGCGACCAGCTACATCTCTATCCCCAACATCTCCACTGACATGGCCGTGTACGGACTCAACTGCCCGTTCATGAAGTGCCCTGAGAAGTGGAGCTGTGGTGTCGAGGGTGTTTCCCGCCTCTACCTTTCAGAGATCAAGCGCCGCCAGCCCCAGGGCCCTTACCTCGTCGGTGGATGGTCTGCTGGTGGTGTCATGGCTTATGAGGTCGCTCAGCAACTGGTCAACTCTGGTGAGAAGGTTGAGAACCTCGTCCTGATCGATGCTCCCTGCCCCGTCGCTCTTGACCCTCTACCTGCCCGTCTCCACATCTTTTTCGACCAGATAGGTCTTCTCGGTACCGGTAAGCCCGGTGGCACTCCGTCCTGGCTCCTTCCTCACTTCGCGTCCGCAATCCAGAACCTCAAGGACTATGACCCGAAGCCAATGGACCCCAAGATCGCTCCTCCTGTCCTTGCCATCTGGTGCACAGATGGTGTGTGCCCCAACCCTGAGGACCCCCGTCCCCCACCAGGTGAGGGAGAGGACCCAGCTCCCATGAAGTGGCTGCTCAACAACCGTACCGATTTCTCGGACAACGGTTGGGCCCAGCTCCTTCCCAAGGAGAACTTCCAGTACGCTGTTATGGGCGGAAACCACTTCACGATGATGAAGGGCGAGCACGTAAGTCACTCCACGATCATTACCATCATTTCACGATACTGACATTCTCTCAGGGTGCCACACTAGGCAAGCTCATTCAGCAAGGTCTCAAGCTATAAGCTTCGACCTCTCTTCATCCATAGACTTATCACACATTGCAAATTGCATGCATCTCCTTTGTTCAAGTGTTGAATAACGAGATGTTGGCGTTGGGCTCTCGCTTATTGGTCTTCAGCATACATATACTCTGGCGCTAGCGAAGGTGTCATGATTTGTTGGCGTTGGGATACTACATTCTTGTGGCTCCATTTGTCTTTCACGCACTTGTTGCACCTTTTTCTCATGTTCACGCACGTTATTATTTATACTGTACTTAATGCTTGGTTTACCCAAAATGGCAAGGGTTTGTTCACAACAACTAGTTCCCATTGCATCGTGACTTGGTGTGTCTAACTCCACTACCCTCCAGTTCTACCTCACTTGACTGGCACTACGACCATTTCAGTCCTGTTCCAGCTCATGACCGATGTCGCCATCCCGCTTCCGTTTCTTCCCATGTCTTTCTAGTGCCAGATCCATACTACCAGCAACCGAAACTGAAAATTGCGCAACCTGTTACTCTGTCTCGTTTCCGGCTCCACAGTCCGACAACCATAAGTGTTGGTATCTGGATTTGTTGGGATACTTTAAAGACAACCCCCACGCCATCGTATAGGTAATCAACATGTCATAATCCAGAGCACTTGCTTGCATGATCGTGCCGCTGGCGTAAATCCCCTGTGCGTGATCGTGGACCAAATACCATAGCCTCACAGCTTCTCGCACCCATTGCACATCCGTGTAAGCGGGAACGAGGATCCATGTTCTGCCACGCCTTTGACATCTCGCTCTACTAGCAATGGAACGCTGTGGCCCATTTACCCAGACGCTCATATCCCGACCCTCTAGCTGCAGGTACAACGAACCATTCAACTCACGGATAAATGCCTGCATGTTCGACCCTTAAGTTGCACGTCTCGATACGATACCCGTTATCCCGTCGCCCACAGAACTGTTCATGCAAGCTAGATTAAGCTTTGTCTGGCACGATCTAGATGGTCCCGGTCCGCGGTGAAGGATTTCTTTTCATGCGCTATGCAGCTGCGGTCCGACGGGAACGCCGTTGGACGGTCGCAAACATGTCTTTCCGTCTTCGGAAGCTCAGCCGTCATATATTTGGCGTTGCTATAGTGCCATTGCGCATGGTGGTTACTATATGAACAAATTTGGGACCGACGTACGGATAGCCTGCTTAACCAGTAGGCATTCATGGTCTACGGCAGTATATTGGAGGTCTGGTACGCGGCGCCCTGCATTAATTGCGATGTAACTTGACTTCGCAAAAGATACTGAGCCTGATGGTGCCGTGGTTGTTGTTCAGTGTTGCATCGAAACGGGAAAGTCTGGACGTTGGCAAACCGTTGTTCTATACTCTGGAAAGCACTATAGAATCCAAGTATCGCAAGTCTTGGCTCAAGGATCCAGCTAATACTCCTACTGCTGTGTAGCTCCGCGGTACAATGTGGATGCCCGGGTACATGCGTGCTTCACAGAAGGTGGCCAACGCAACACTATCCATGGGTATGGCACGTGCACCCGCTCTCGCTCCAAGTTCCGCTGCGGAAGTATACCTGGCATTCCAGCCAATGCAACATCCAAAGTATTTTTGCTACTACCGAGACTACCGCGCAGCCCTGGACGCGCATGCGAAAGACTTCCAGCTCTTGCAACATCCTCACGCATCTGCAACACCCTTCAGCCTGGCAGCAGCCAAGATATGTTCATGTATCCTTCTCGATCTACTGGACCCTCCTCCCGATTTCTGGGTCCAAAAAAAGGCCAAGCACTTACTCAGCTGTGTCTGTTCACGTGACTGGGACATCCTTATCGTACCTAGCAATGTTAATGTATGCAGTCATACTTCCTGATCTCAGGCGTCGGATGGCATCCACGGTGCATTTCCGGAAACATGGTATCTGGAGCGAAGTTGCCGGGCGCCTGCAATACTGACACATCCGAAGAAAGCCCAGCCAAGACCCTGGCATGGCTCAAAGCCGCTGTCGTGACGGGGCAAATTTCAACTACGGGTCACCTTACACACTACCCACACGGGGCTGCCTGAGCCTTGTCACTGAGTCAAGCTTCATGTGAAAATGTGGCTGTCACATCACTTCCGCGTTCCTCAGCTAGCAAGCGAGCGCCCGCCACGTCATGCCATCGTTGCGACGTGCAGGGCGCCTTGCTCACCTTTAGCTACTCAGCCATCTCACTGCATATGCTATTTCCACCGGTACCAAGACAGTGATGAGAGCTTGCATGTCAAGGAGTGCCGAGAGAAGGATTGCGCCGATCAGCACCAATCCGACTGCAGGAGTCCCAAGAACCGGTCTGACAGCTACGTCGCCGTATATGCCGTGGGCTGAAGCATGACGATCGCCACGATGATCAGTATCGAATTCCTTCTTTGATGCAGAGCAGCTTTCCAGAAACGGACGATCGAAACATGTAAGTCGATCAATGTTCACTTCTGGGATGTGACCCTGATGCATGAAGCATAAGTGCAATCCTCAGTCTTAACGAGACGAGCTAGATCTGATGTTGCGAAGCCTAAAGGTTCCTAGGCTGTGGACCGCGTTTGGGGTCGATCCTCGTATGATCCGATGTCTTCCGTTCGTGTTCAAGTCGAAATGTGAGCAATTAAGGATCTGCAGGTCCTCGTTGAACGAATGGAACCATTCGGAGACAGACGATTTGGGCCCTCCGAGTACGAGTGCGAAGTTCAATGCGCTGGCTGGGAAGCTTGGTCGGCGAGGATTCTCAAAGATGATATGCTCGGAGAATAGTGAGGAGGCCCGAACGTGCATCCTGCAAAGCCGCAAGCAACTATGCCTGAAGTGCACTCAACAGTGGCGGCTGCAACCGCTGATCGCGGCCTTGAGCGTAATACGGCTCATATTTTCTTTACGATGATTAAGTTTGTGGCTTGTATCGATACAGTAGGCTGATGGTCCGTCATGGAGTTGGCGGTCCGGGGAACGATTGGTTCGGTTCTTACCTGGCTGAGCAGTTCACAGGCATTGACGCCTGCATCTTACCTTATGTTAGCCTTGCAGTAGTTTTCAATAGTTCCTCGATGGGGAGACCAGGGCTGCAGATTGCCGTCTCCATAGGGCGGAAAGCATGGCCGCCGCCCGTTGCACTAGACTTTTTGCTGTCCGCATATGCGATACAGGCAGGGTTTTCCAGTGTTTGAAGTACGTACTGTATAGGTCCAGCCACAAACGTGGCAGTTACCTCGATTTTGAGTGTACTGGAGGCGATCGAGCTGCCGTGTTGGATGGATAACGACCTCATCATCGTGTCGGTTAGCTAGCGGGTCGGGGGGCCCGTGTTATCCCATCGAGTCCCAGGACGACGGAATCTTTTTGTATGTAATCTTGATGCTCATGCTATCAAGGTACTTCCCGCGTAGCTTTTCGTAGTGTACCAGGTATACAACAGGGTCATGGCATGCAAGATGCTGGATGGTGAGATCATATATTTTTAGCCAGATCGGTTGGTATCTCGGCCAAAGACGGGTACGGCAGCCATTCCTGTTGGTCTCTGTGCATAAGCTAGCTAGCTAGATCGGGCGGCACAGCGGAAGACAGTGAATGGCGGGGTGGAGCGGAAAGGGTTTGGAGTCTCGAGAGGCGGAGGACGTGGGAGGATGAAGCTCTTCCGCCAAGAACGGACATTGCGGGGCATTTTCTCCGAGACGCGAAACCTTGACTGAACGCGAACAACGCGAACGACGTCGAAATATACAAATCCAAATACAATGGCTGATGTAGCCAAAGGCGCGAGGTGAGTAATGTGTCAGTCCTGGCGAATAGATCTGACATTGCAACAGCGGTCCCGAGAGTACATCCCCCAACACCACCAGAGTCCAGACATTTCTCTGACATACCCCCAGCGAACCCTCGCGGTATTCCCGTTGCGCCCTTTATAGATCGGGTGCGAAGTCCATTGGTCATCTTGGAGGATTGCGTCTAACATGGACAGGTTGAGGACTATGTCACAGACCGCGCAGATGTCGAGAAGACCATCAACAACTTCAAGGAGATGATCTCGTATGTCTCACCCAACTGGTCACACCCATAAGAACAGCAACGCCTAACGTGCCTTCCCAGGAAGTACCAGTTCATGCAGCAAAACACTCAACGGCGAGCTGCAGGCCTCAAGGACAAGATCCCCGATATTCAAAAGACGTTAGAGACTGTGCGGTTCCTCAAGTCACGGAAAGACGATGCGGAGCCCCTCGAAACTACCTTCGAACTGAACGATACACTCTACGCCAAAGCTGAAGTGCCTCCCACCGACGAAGTCTACCTCTGGCTCGGCGCCAATGTTATGCTCGCATACCCCATACCCGAAGCCGAAGAACTGCTGCAATCGAAGCTGTCGACCGCGAAACAAAGTTTGAGTACATGCGAAGAGGATTTGGACTTCCTACGTGAGCAGATTACGGTATGCATACTCCATGCAGTAGGCTGAGGTGTAATACTGACAGGGCCATAGACACTCGAAGTCGCATTCGCACGGGTTTACAACTGGGACGTTGCACAGCGGAGAAAGGAAAGGGAGGCAGAGGAAAAGAAGTGAATGTGTCTGAATGGAAAAGAGTCAGAACAACTCTCGCCTGTCGGCAGGGAAAGACAGCTTACGTAGCTGATCAGCACGCAAGGCAAGATACAAAAACCAAAACCACATGATGATGATGATGATGACGATAATGAAAACGCTGGAGAAAGCTGAAATGGCTCCGAAAGATTTCGCAATCATCAAGCAAGCGATATGGTACCTCTCGGGTGTGACTCCTGCTCACGATCCACATGCATTGTATACCACAGTGAAGAGCCTGCTACCAAGACGGCGCAGTACTCGTCAAGTCTTCATGAACAACACGACGCTGAAGTGGAGACAAAGAGACCTGGGCTACGAACGTGAAAGGTAGATACCGCCCGACATGAAGAACTTTCACGACAGACAAACCAGGGCTGTGCGGAAAGACGAGGTATAGTTCTCACCAATCAATTTTATATACAGCTAATAAACGTACTCAAGAGTGCGGAAGGCAGAGCATCAAGCCCTGCCTAACGATCCTATTAACAGCCACTTTTCCTCCTATGCATATGAAATGCATACGACCTATCCCTATACACATTACCATCCATTCATTCGACCTGGCTTAGACGACAATCTTGGCACCAGCCTCGGCAGTCTCAGTACCGTTGTTAATAGGTGCCATGTCTTTGCCAGTCTGCTCCTTGACGTACTCGCTCATCATCTTAGTAATGGCGACTTGACCACCCCATGTGACCATGTTAGCCATGGTATCGATCTCCTTCATAGTCATGATGACAGCTCCTTGAGGCGCCTTGTCGAGGCCGTACTTGTCCTTGCCTGAGTCCTTGTTTTCCTGGCGGCGCTCGGGTTTGGCCTCGGTGCTGTTGGCGGCAGCACCTTCCATGGTGGGTCTCTTCTCACCCTCGGCCGCTGGCTTCTCGCCTTCGGCTGCGGGCTTCTTCTCACCGGCCGCTGCGCTGGCGCTCGATGCAGGTGCTTCACCAGTGGGTGTCAAGCTAGATTGAGCGGCAGGCTCAGCAGCAGTGGGTGTTTGACCCTCACCAGCGGCTGGTTGAGCAGGTTGAGCAGGCTGAGGAGGCTGAGCGGCTTGTGCGGGTTGCGCACCGCCCATGACTTGCATAGTGAGGATGTACTCTCCATCAATCTGGCGGACAGGAACAGCAATGCGCATGTTGGCTTGGTCAAGAACGGCGTTAGCCTGAATGGGGGTAAAGGTAGGTGCAAGAAGGAGCTGAGTCGCCACGGGGTTGTTGCCATTGGTAGGTGTGCCTTGCTGCTGGCCCTGCTGCTGGCCCTGCTGGATCTGGCGTCTGAATTCACCACGGCTAAGACCACGACGTTGGGTAGCGGCTCCACCAAGGTTTCCTGTTGCGCCTCCGGGGTTCTGGAGAACACCACGCTGAGCGACGGCAATAGCGACTTGGCCGGTGGGGGGGACGCCCATGGCTTGCATCATCTTCTGGATACGGATAGCATTGACTAGACGTTTGTCAGCTATCTATATGACTGAGACATGGGTAGACTTACTGGGCATCTGGACAACAGTGACTTGCTGGTTTAGATCAGGGGTGACAGCAGCCAGGTTGGAGACAACTGAGTAACGGTAGTCGTTGACTGGGGCCTGACCCTGGAGAGCAGCCAACATGCTCGAGTCGACGCCATCCTTGACGTCGACGTTCATAGTCATGGGCTGAGTAGCGCGAGTCGACATCCTGAAGCCATCCTGGAACTCGTTCTCTTGTAGACCAGTACCTTGAATAGCGACGGATGTGCTGCCGTCACTGCCGAAAGGAGTGACCAGAGTGTTGGTCTCGACGGTCTGACGACCAACAACCATGTACTCGCCGTCCATCTGAGTGCGCTTGACCATGCGGACCGTCATATCAGTAGTGTTGACACTCCTCATAGTCTCCTGAATCATCCAGGATTGACGGTCAGGCGACAGCATAGCAACGTATGTGTTGTCGGGTTGGACAGCAACTGCCTGCAAGTTCTGCATCGTCATGGCCATCTCGATTTGGCCACCAACGAGATCTGTAGCGCCGTTCGTGCTGATAGTCATCGATTGCGGCGAGACAGCGACGAAGGGTTGACCAGTAGTTCCCGTGACTTGGTTTGCGGGAATGGCGGGTGTTTGTTGATTAACAATTATCTGCTGTTGCTTCTGGGAGAATGTCTCAACCTTTGAGCGGTCAGGAAATTGAAAAGAGTTGAGTTGCATCTACGTTTGTCAGTTTAAAGTCGATGAGAGGATCTGCTGGAGATAGTTTACTTACATCGCCATTGACATTAAGGACTTGGTTAAAAGACACCTGCTGTGTGTTTGCGTTTTGAGCCAACACCTGTGTACAGCTCAAAAGCAGGAGAACAAGCGAGGAGACAGTACCGGACGTCATGTTTGTAATAATAAAAGCCACCTGGGCTTTGAAGAAATATTAAATAAGAAGATAGAAAAGAAAAATTAATAAGAGAAGAGCGAGAGAACGGCGGAGCAACTGACCAGACTTGCTGCGGCAGAGAGGTACTCGAACAACAAATCGTGGCACAGTGGCTTAATATGAAGACTCTGTGTCTCCGTACCATGACTTCGGTTTCTAGCCCGGCGAGCCATGATCCGGTCAATGGGGTTTCGAGTCGTGCTCCAGGACTTGATGGCGAGATGTCCCGGAGCGAACAGTTCCATAGCAATCAGGCATACTCGACCCCTTCGGATTGAGAGGTCCACATAAAACCTGCCGTGACTTGCTTGATTCGTTAGAACCAGTTGACGAGACCGTTGTCCTTACAGGTATGGTGTCGGCCAAGAAATTGCTTGAGTAACGGTGATGCTTCTTTGCGAATTCGGTTTCAAACGTCAGGCAGAACGTTTGGTTTGCCCATCTGGGACGGATTTGCCGGAAAGCTTAGCCCTAATGACCTACGAGACACATCGACGCATGGCGAGACTGTTCTATCAATGGTCGGGTAGTCTGAGCTTTCTGAAGGTTTGTATTTATGGAACAATCTGACAAAATGATGGGATGCCTGGCTCACACAGAAAGCTTATGTCATCAAGAGGCCTCTTGTTTCTTGTTCTCTTGCGCTGCGCTGCGTGCAGCCATACAGGTAATTGCTTCCACGTTGTTCTCGGTTGGTCAGTCGAGGCTGGCAGCAAAGGCTCATCTGTAAGACAGCGAAACTCCTGATTATTTGCGTGCAAAGTCTATCGGTCGCGCATTACATGGTCAAACCACGATGTTTAGAGTGGTGTTTCGCGAATGCAGTTTGTCGCACGAACACGATCGCCTTCGGCTACTTCCATACACTAGTCTCGAAACGGACAGAGCATAATCATTGGTCAACAACTTGGTTCTTGAGCGGTTGCAATGGGCTCAGTCAATCTGACAGGAGTCCCCAGATTGTGATTCTGCTCTCTCATTGCTACAGGAACTACATTGGTGATCATTGGTAGCCTCGCCCACTGGGTGCTTTCACACTGCCACTCGAAAAAGTGGCCTTGTACTTGTTATCCATAGCCTTTGATCTTTGCTTGCTTCCTATCCCTGTACGATCTGTTGTGGGCTGTGCAGCCATGAAGCTGTCAAACTCATCGTCGTCGACATCACCTTCTGCAGGCTCGCTGTCATCCTCCTCGCCTGCCTTGGCATTTCCTGGCGCAGGTTCAGTTCGAGGTATACGTTCGGGTATCTTCTTGTCATCCTCGTCTTCTTCTTCCTCTGCATCTTTTGGCGTGGGGTTGGTGAAGGGCTTCGATGCCAGGACACGGCGCCTTAGCTCTGCCATCTCCTCCTCATCGTCTGAGGACTCTGGGATATTGTAAGGGTTTCGCGGGTCGATTTCGTCTTCTTCATCCTCATCACCCTCATCATTCTCATCATCATCGTCATCATCTGATTCATCGATGACCCTTCGGTTCATGTTTCCGCCAGCCCAAACATCCTCTTCAACGCCATCCTCTTTCTCTTCTCGGCTCGTGTTGTATTCGCGCTCAATCTTCTCCAGCCAGACTTCCTCGGCCTTTTTGATTTGCTCTTCATTCTCGCATGCCATGTAACGCTTGAGCAGCGCAGCGTTGATGTCCAAGAACGCCTGGCCGTATGAGAAAGTCGACAGAATTGATTCGGCCCATTCGGGATGCCCAGTGATATAGTAGCAAGCGGCAAGAGCTTCGACGCAGTTTAGCCGCCATGGTCGACCGTAGTTTGTTGGGTTTGCAGCAACGAGGTACGGAAGTAGACGTTCGCACTTGCCACCTATCCTGCCGAACGGGACTTCGTCTATCCTCTTCCAGCTGGCTTCCACAACTGCAGCGCCATATTGTTCCATCAAGTCCTTGTCTTCGCGACTAAGTATCTTCTTTGCCTTCGGGCTAACCACGACACCTGCAAACTTCTGTCCAACGTGAAGCTCGCGCATCATGCCCAGGCGCATGAGCCTCTTTCCAGAACAGCGCTTGGCATCGCAGTGTCCGAGGTCCCAGCATGCGGCTTTAAACTCTGGTTTCGCAGGCCTCGGGTTGTCGCCATCGTTCTCATCTGCATCCGATGCGCGGCGGGGGCGGGGAGGACCGCGTGCTTTCGCGGGATTTTTGAACTTGTTGTTGCCCTTGAAGTCTTTCTTGTGGCGCACCATGTCGAATAATATGTCTGTATGTAAGAGAGAGGCGATTTGCAGGTCCTAAGTTGGGCGTGAGTCGCAGAGAGGGGCAAGATTGTGGAATAACAATTATTGAACATCGTAATCGATAAGACGCGCTAGTCCGATGACGTTGCGCTTGCTTCTATGAGCGAATGGCGATGGCGTCAAGGCCGCTTAGCTGAGTAACAAGCTTTTATAAGAGCAATTCATCTTTGGGGTACGGAAAATGCTTGATTCATGTTCTTTATAGGTCGACGACCACGGTTTCCGTGTTGCGGATGCTATGAAACACCGAGGCTCGGGATTTCTCCCATCTCGTTCTTCTGCTGTCCACCAAGGGAATATGTAGCCTTCCACCTCATTTTGACGTTGTTCCCCGACCCTCTTTGCACGTTGTTCACGCGGATGTTCTGAGTAATTCCGAACTTCTGATGTGGTCCGAGGTTGACGCCAGATTGTGGCTCCAATTGCAGTTGGGCGCCCTGGTTGTTGTTAACTAATGACTTCAATATCATCACATTGCACTGCCTACCTTTGATGCAGCAACCTGCAGTGTCAGACCAGAGATTGGTAGCGGTGTGTTGTTCGATACCCGTGATTGGATCAGCAAGGTAGTGTCCGATTCTCTCGAGATGTTGAAGAGAACATTGATGCTCGTGTTGGTGACAGTTATCTCCTTGGAAGTATCTGGCACAGCTGAAGCAAAGTTCCACTCGTCGTCGTCATCAGCAGTAGCGCTGCTTTGTGTCAAATTGGTTGACGGCGCAGGCATGCCACCACCCAGTAGATCAACAGCACCAGATGCCACCGGTGGGGGCTTGACCGACTGTTGGTATTGGAAAGGTGAGCCTTGGCGTGGTGTGGATGTAAGAGCAGCGAAAGGATCCGGTGTGCGCGCTGGCTGTATTGGAGGCGGTGAAAAGGTAGACGGAGTGGGTGACGTGATTTGGGATTGTGTTGGCTTCGGTCCTGCTGAGAAGAGATCGGTGATGGCCTGGTTTGATGCCTTTTGCGATTGTGGCACTGCCATTCCGGACATGCCTAGGACTAAAAAACGTCAGCTGATGAATGCTCGTTGCAACAACAAGCAACGTACCTGAGCCATTCGAACCTCCCAAAGAGATGCTACCCTGCTGTCCGTAGGTATCTCCACTCAACGACAGTCCTAGAAGATCATCTTCAAGAGCATTGCCTGCGGCTGCTGGCTGTTGAGGTGCCTGTGACGATCCTGCTGTCTGAGACACGGGCTCTGGGTCTCCAAAGTCGATCAAGTTCAATGTGTTGTTTGGACCCTGGGAAACGCCAGCACCACTGCGGCCAAGCGTGCCTTGGGGTATGTTATTTGCGGCTTCTATGTCACCCTTCTTGAAGAGCTTGTATCTCTCTATTGTTCGGTGTATGCTGTCGTTGATTTCGAACAGCTTTGCTACGGCTTCGTGGTCTTCGGAATCTTCTTCGCACATCTTCTGGATCTTTGGTTGGGCGCTTTGGAGGGCATTCGCAAGTTCCTGTCGTCCAGTTAGCTAATGTCACCATATTGACACCTCATTTGACATGCCTCAAAGACATCGCCCTCTTTGATCTGATCGCCCGGTTTGTAGCCCTGCAGCATCTCCTCCAGTATCTTTGCCTTTTGCTGTATTCTTCCAACTTCTTCAGCAGCCTTTGCGCGCCAATCGGTCTTGTTCCTGGTATCGTACCCAGCCATTACTTTCATGAGCTTGTTCGCTTCTTGCAGGTCCGCAGGCCCACCGCGACGGATCAATTCCTGGAGTTTCGCAGATTGTGCCTCTCGTTCCTCTTCGGCCATTTCTTCTGCCGAGCGGAGATTCTGCGCCATGTTAGCAGTATACTTGAACCGCCAGACCACCATGTACATACGTCGCTGGGGTTTAGGACTGCCGCATCTTCCTTGCGTACTTCAGGAAAGATGTAGCCCTTGTAACTCAGCAGCCTATGCATGTCTCTTATGAACCCTAGGTCGTCTTTGTACCGCGACGTCTGACATATGGTTTGCCGCCATTCTTCTATCAGCTCGAGAATCTTGTTTTGTACACGCGTCGAATGCACAGGCGGACGTTCGGGGAATCGGCGGACAAGCTCATTGAGGAATTCCTTTGTGCTTATTTGGAGGTGGAAGGGGTAGCCGCAATTCTTGACACATATGTCCAGGAGCTATCCAAGGGTGAGCTATGCGAAGTACAAGGTGGGGCAGTGTGGGCGTACATTGAGCGCGAGGAGGGCAACGTTCTGATTGCGGTGGTTGACGTAGTGCACGATGGTAACAGCTGCTTCTCGAGGCCTGGGACATCGTTAGCCTCGAGTGTATAGCGGAAGAGTGGCATGACCCTACGCTGAGCCTTTCTTGCTATTGATCAAGTCGGAGATCTCGAGGTTCAAGGCCAGGTTGGGCTCGAAGTTCTGCGGATCGCAAGCTTGTACTGTTCCATACTATATCAGTTTTGGTTCGTACCCGAGGAACGGCCTTGTGCATACATATGTAGCGCTGCAGTGGTGAACTGGGCGCCTCCCCGAATGCGCCGTACCGATCCCGGGTGGCCATGCGCGCAGACGCTGCCTCCATTGCGCCGCCAGAGAATTCGAGTATCGAGGCTGTAGATAGCGAGAAGTAAGAGATTCTAAGGTTCGGAAGGGCGGACACGTGTTTGCCGAAGCTGGTTGTATGAATAACGTATGTTCTAAGAATTGGTGGGGATTGGAGATCGCGGCAGCTATCCACCTGCTCGATGCCTTGGCGCCACAGTTGCTACGTAATGCGCCTCATTTCACATGTAACTTCGAAGCTCAACCTTTGTTTATTTACGCACATGCATGGTTCAAGGGTATTCACTCTGGGTAAAAATAGTTTCATAATAACTACCTAGGTCGAGCTCTTTTGCTAAACCTGCTGCTAGTTATCTCAAAGCATGAAAGTCATCTATCAAATCATCCAGAAATCCGCGATCAAGTACGTCGCGTATCCAGCAATACCTGCAAGTACAGCCTGAGTGCCGTAGTAACCAACAATCCTTCCGGGAGCCGTAGAACCCTTGATCATCAAGCCAAGCTCTGCGTGACTGATACGGAGGGCAAGGAGAGTACCAAGCGCGTAATTGATGTAGGTCCTGATGTAGCAACTTAGACGCGTTGTCTTGTCTCGACGCAGTGCGCTTACCTGTTGGCTCCGTTGAGCTCAGCGAGGAGCGCCACTCCCAATACCAATGGCACGTTCTCGGCAAAGTTCAGCTGCGCACGCGTGGCCACATATAGGGGATCTGTGACGCCTTTCGAATCATCCGACTTGTCACCCATGAAACTATCGTCAGCGTCAGCAGAATGCTATTGGCTAACTGATATGAGCTCCCTACGTCTTTGAGGTGATGCGGTGGTAAGCAATGCGGTTCTGGAGGAAAATGTAGTATGCCGCAAAGGGAAAAGCCCATGTAGCAGTCGCAGGAGCGAGAAGCGGCATTGGAACGCCGAGACCAACCTTGGTTGCCATGCTTGATTCAGGAACGGAGAGATAGTTGACCATCGAACCGAGGAAGTGGGGGAGAGGAGTTTATATAGTTGTGGGGACTTTCAAAGTGGATTTGGTGGAGAGAAGATAGGATTGTTTTCCGAAATACATGGATCCCGATTGTCGACGTCATCTAGGGGTCTAGCGCAGATATATGCAGCGGCCCGATCAACATTCTTTGGTGCGCCGTTGAACGGGGTAAACCTCACGAACGTTCGGGACTATGTCTTACGCGCTCAAAATACATATTTTTTGACAAAGGTCGTGTCCGAATGGTACGGTGTATACGCCAAGTCCAAGTTCTGCAACTTCAATAAGCTGTTGTCGTTATGCATTGTTCCACTGCACTAAGAGAGAAGAGTAGGGAACTCACTTGAGAGGAGTGTGAAGTGCAAACACGTCTGTGGTTCTATGGAATAACTATGGCAAGCCTCGTTGTTCATCGGTTCTGTATGCAGTTAGTTTCAGTGGCATCGCATAGGGAAGACCGTGCCTACAGGCTTCATGTGCTCAGCATCATTTTCTTTGTTGTCGTCTCGCACTTCCTTTAGCATCTTGTCGATGCCACGTTCATTCAAAGCCCTCTGTTTGCTGGGTTAGCCAGCTTCAAGGGCAGAGCCTTTAGGGCAAAGTGCCTGACCGAAAGACATTTCTCGTACTGCTCGAATATCGGCTTGCATTCGTCGGTCGTGGCAGTGCCTCGCAGAAACTCTAGATTTTGTCAGGAGTCATAAATGCCCAGATTATGCACTATTGCTTACTCTCACTGTACCACTTGAGGAAGCAGTTGTCGTATCGTCTTGGATGTATCAGTTAGTTGTACTAGCAATACTAGATAACATTGGCGCTCACTCCTTGACTTCGTTGCATTCGGGGGCTAAAGAAGCCGACATGTTGGTGAAATGTTGGTTAAGTGACGGCCTTGATCAGCATGACGGAGGCGGCGGGTGAAGGTGCGCGGCTGCGGCTATCGATAGGGAAAGCGCGCTAACGTGGAAATCATTGAAGGTTTCTTTCTAAACATTTGCGACACGCGCTCCCTCTCCACCCCAACACGACCTACGACATCGAAGCGAGACGCCACCGTAGACCACGTCATCGAGCGTTTTTTAAGAGGATGAGCGCACAATAGACACGCCATGGATTCCTTCAAAACGCTTCAGACAGAGATCTCGGCTGCCCTGAAGTCGACCACCAAGTCTGCCTCCCTAATAGGCGCAGCAGACATTTCCTTTCAACGGTCGCTCAACCCCGAAGCTGGCACACAGCTGGATGCTCAGAATGCGCGCCTCCTTCACCTTGCGCAGCGACTTCTCGAGAATGCTGCTGCGAGTTCGGACGCTGTAGGTCCCAAGCTACCCGACGTCGAAGCCATAGACGCCAATTGGAGGGGGGTTGTTGATGTCATCGACAGCTTGCTTGAGAAGGCCGACACCAGTCTCGATGAGTACACGGGTGTTGTCAAGCGACTGAGTCCCGCGACCGAGCAGGTGAGGAATACACATACTGAAAGGGGGGCGCGTCATCTGATTCACTTGCAGACAACCGCGAAGCCGCGCCCAAACATCGCCGACAAAAAGATTATCGCAAAGCCCCAGCTTAAATTTGAGCATTTGCCCGCCAATTACGAGTCTGGCGGCTTCCGCCCTTTGGTCACAGCGAAGCCGCACGCGAAGATACCGCTCGAGAAATGTTTGGAAACTTTCAAAGACAGACGCGGACGGGAACAGTATGACAGATATGCTATGTTAGCACCGCAAGCTTACCTTTCCCAGATACCCTCACCCGTACCAGACCGAGATCGAAACCTACGAATATCCTTCGACCGTATACGAGTACTCCGAGCCGCAGCAATACCCACCCTTCGAATCTACCACTGCAACTTTGGTCGATACCCCTGAAGCACTAGCTACTATGCTCTCAGAGCTGAAGACCGCAAAGGAAATCGCTATTGACCTGGAACACCACGACAACCGCTCCTACATCGGCATGGTTTCGCTAATGCAAATAAGTACGCGCGACAAGGACTGGATAGTCGACACACTGAAGCCCTGGCGGCGGAAGCTCGAGTGCCTGAACGAGGTGTTCGCCGATCCCAATATCTTGAAGGTTCTACACGGTGCATACATGGACATCGTCTGGCTTCAACGAGACCTTGGGCTTTATGTCGTTGGCCTCTTTGACACGTACCACGCTGCTCGAGCTCTTGGCTATCCTGGTGCGAGTCTGGCTTACCTGCTTGAGAGGCATGTTCAGTTCACAGCCCAGAAACAGTACCAACTGGCAGATTGGCGCACTAGGCCGCTCAGCAAGGAACTGTTCGAATACGCACGCGCCGACACCCATTTCCTCCTTTATGTATACGACAACATGCGGAACGAATTAGTTGAGAAGTCTGACTTCTCTAACCCCGAGAAAAACAAGGTTCAGGACGTACTGCAAAAATCGAAAGAGACGGCGTTACAGCGATACGAACACCCTGTTTACGATATGGAGATGGGTCTTGGAGCAGCTGGTTGGTACAAACTCGTCTCACGGACACCTGTGCAGTTTACCCCACAGCAGTTTTCAGTCTTCCGAGCTGTGCATAGGTGGAGAGACGACCTCAGTCGGAAGGAAGACGAAAGCCCGCTTTTCATCATGCCCAACCACGCCGTGTTCTCTGTAGCTCGTGCGATACCTGCGGATAAGGCTGCTCTCTTCAACGCTATCCAACACGTGTCGCACATCATTCGAGCCCATGCGGACGAGCTCGTAGCTGTGATCGCAAAGGCTAAGGAGGAGGGCGTTGGGGGACCGGAGTTGCATAGCGTGCTTCAGACGATTGCCGACATGCAAAAAGCGGAAAGGGCTGAGTCTTATGCTGCTGCTGCGAAGGTAGCAGAGGCGACTGCAGCTCCAGCTGTTGAGGCCGCAGCACTTGAGAGTACCGTTGCTGTCCCAGCTACTCGCGCTTCGTCTTCTGAGTTCTGGGGACAACTGTGGAAAGCCAGCCAGCCGTCACAGCAGCGGGAAACTCCCACCATTGATATCGGTCTCGCTCTGCCATTACCACCTCTTACCGCAGAAATATTTGCTGATGCAAACGGAATGACACAAGCTGCACTAAAGGCGGAGAAACCGCAGCACACTTTTGTACCGAAAGAGGAGAGACCTGCTGAAGACCAACGAACCGACACGTTTGTCGTCAGGCACCTCGGTAGTCGCAAGCGAAAGCGAGGAAACGCAGTAGAAGACGAACCCTCCACCACAACGCCAGCCCTCGACCCTATGACCAACGACGAAATCATGCTAGACGCATCCGAGGAAACACCAGACGCAGATCACGCACATGCCAAGGCCGCTAGGAAAGCCGCACGTAAGCAAAAGAAGAAGAATGACGCTGCTGCCCGCGCCGCTGGTCTTGACTACGGTAACGAGCCTGCATTCGACTACGCAAACGCCAAGTCGGTACTGCATGCAGAAGATGGCGATGGCAAGAAGAAGAAGAAGGACAAGAAAAAGAAGAGTGCAGCCTTCGCGCCTTTCTCGGGTATGTCCGATGCACCGAAGGGACTACCGAGGGCGCAAAAGGAAGTCCCAGGACGAAGCAAGACGTTTACAAGATAGACGTGGCAGTTTCGAGGCAAGGGAGAAGAGCATTGCTTTGCGTTTTTGCGTTCTTGTACATATACCTGCATCATGATACCAACCTAATTCTCGAGGTGTCAAAACAATTCAAGGAGAACTGCTCTAATGGGCTTACTGCTACTTGGTCGCCGTTCCTACGCCTCTACTCTGAACATGAGTGATCCATCACTACCTACGAAGCAGCTCGTCTCTATTGAGCTGTACCTTGTACTGGAAAGACACCCGGAAGGTATACACGTATAATATTGTAGAGTTATCGCCACACAAAGTACGGTGGATACATTTAGTATGCATTCTGAGCATTGTACGAAGCTATAGCAGTAATGTCCGCTGCCTGATCCCTGGGTCGTGAGACAGTTGGGGAATGCATACACAAATCCCTACCAACCCTGTCGGCCACTATTCACGCAATTTGTCCATGTAAAACCTGATAGAATTGACCAAAGTTTCCCTTGCCGTCCTTGCCACCATCTGGTCCGTTTACGTTGTCCATGACGGCAAACACGACCTTCTCCCACCACCCTCCTTGGAATTCTGGCTCTCGAAAAACCTCAAGAAAGCAATTTGCGACGTCTCGTGGCGGATTGGCGAATACACCGCAGCCCAGTGCGCCCAACACGAGCTTTCTGTGTCCATGTCGAGCAGCAACGCGCAGTATGAGGCGAATGTTCTTCTTGGTGTGAGACCTTACGCCAGGGCTTTTAAACGCTGTGCCGTCGTTTGATAATTCCGGTTGACGAAGTGCTGCTACGCTGATGACGGAAACTGCGGGCAGGTCAGGCGGACAAGTGTTACTGTGTAACTTGTGGCCTCTTGACATGGATTCGCGTATTATGACCACGTTTGGTGAGTATATGGCAGAGAGAGGGGGTATTGGGTAAAGTTTTCGGTTGAGCGAGAGGTAGAGCGAAGAGCGGTAGCACAGACATTCCTCCTGGGCGAGGGCGCCCTTCTGCCAGCCGCCTCCGGGTGAACGCTCGGAAGCAAGGTTTAGGACTGCCACTGGGGTCACCTTCTCAGTACTGGTATCCGACCTTTTCTTGGTGACATGCTGGTTGACGGTGTGAGAGGGGTCTAGCTGGATTGCCGCATCGAATGAATCCATATCGAGTACTTGAATAGTACACGGTGTCGTTAAAGCTGGGCATAAGTCCGCCGGAAGAGGAGCTGAATCTCGATGATTCAGATCTTCGAGAAAAGACCATTCAACATCAAACTCCGGTGGAAGCTGAGCCCGGACATTCGGGAGTGCTTCTTTGGTCTCGTCGGCAACTAGTTTGAGACTCATGTTGCGGCGGCGGTCAGGGGGTCGCTTTTGGTTAGATGAGTGATGTTTGTGAGCGTTGGTATTATTGCGGCGGTAAGGTTGATCTCGATGAGAATGTTGTGATCGAGACGACTCTGGTCGTGCCGAACCTGGCTTTTTAAGGAAATCGAGGATGGATCTTTGTTCCATGATTGCTGGAGGGGAAAAGGTAGGTGGTAAGGAGCGCTTTCAATGTCGTCGAAGCAGGAAGCCACAATGACCGAGTGTTTTTCGTGAATCCACAGGGTACTTGTAAATGAATACCGTGTGCGTTGCGGGTTCTGCTGCATAGAGCTGCCTGAGGATGCATAGGCCGAGGGATCAGAAGCTTTTAATTAGAGTCTTGTGACGCATTTATTGTGCACAGAAATGCCTGATGGCATCGAGAGATGTATCAAGAATGAGGAAGGCGCATAAAGATTGATGTAAGCAAAGACTCATACAGCCATATCAGGCAGCAGCAGGCAAGGAACGTGCTATGTGAGCTCGGAGCTAGTGCCTCTGAGGCATGCATGCGAACATTGAATCGCAGCCGCTAGGTCCATAAATGGCTCGCAGTGTTCGACGTGCATATGGACATGACAGCAATAGCCGGCCCGCATATATCATGTGCCTTACAGTGGTTCCAGCAAGGGTCTCTTTCAGCCCTACAATGGGCCTGTGCGTCTGCCCCACATTCGCGTAACCAACAGCCATCATGTGGGATTTGGGTGCTCTTCCACTCACAACAACAATACTCCTGTCACCTTCACCAACATACTTCAGCGGTATTCCTCATGTAATTCTGGCACCCTATCATCGGCGAAATGCCTACGCACCTGGCGCATCCATCTCCGAAGCGCAAGCGCGATCAACCCGCGCCTATTCCTCTGCTCAACACGGCTCTGGCCCTGCGTCCCGCGTCAACACCGCCACGAGGTAGTCCCGCGCCTTCGTCGGGCGCCGATAGCCCTCGAAATGCAGTCGCAGACACGCTGCGAGGTATGACCCTCACTGCGCTCTCGGAAATACCCATGTCCCCGCTCACACCTACCGACGATGTAATACGCAAGAAGCCGAAGCTCGATGCTATGAGAGCAGACAGCGGAACTGGCTCAGAAATATATGCAGCCAACGAAACACCGAACAGCTATACAAATAGGAAGCATATAGATACTATTGCTACGACACCCGAGATGGAGGTCTCTAGGGTGATACCAGAGACCCCTCAGTCGTCGCAACCCCGCTTGTTGCCAGATATCGCTTCTTTCGCGCAAACCACCAGTTTTGTTTCGTCGCCCGCAACAACTAAATCGCAGCCGTCTATATCCACACACGAAAAGCTTCGCGCGCAAAATCGATCGTCTTCGCAACCCCACCCTCGGGCTAGATCACCGTCGCCGCCAATGTCGACTCTCACGTGGCGAGATAGTGAGATCACGGGACACCTGGTCGATCCGTCAACTGATCCAGATGACGATGGTACTGGGCTCAATGGGATTGGCTTTAGACCCACACCAGCATTAGCATATGCTAGATCACAGAAGCGACGACAACAGTTGACAGAGTGGAAGCTACGGGAGACTCGCGAGGCGAGAGCAAAACGTAGCGAGAGGCGGAAGAGAGGCGTCAGAGATATGCCTTCAAGGGAAGTCACCGTCGAACGGGAAGTCATGCCCGTTACTAAGATTGAGACCACGAAGCGGACAGTCAAGTTCGCTATATGAAATGTCGAGGAGTTAATCATAATTTCCAGAGAAGTGTAATCAGATGGGTAAGCCCCAGTAGGGACGATGACGATTTCATGATATTTATGATACGGGTGATGTTGGATTAGCAGCATCCTTGGAGTATGGCGCGAAAGGGTGTTTATCTTTCCACGATATATTTAGCATATACGATCATGGCGCCTTCTGCTGAAGTTACAGTTGTTACAGATTCATGCTCAAACATGCTTTGCCGTCTTGTCGAATGAATTGGTCGCGTCTTGAGCCTTCGGATACTGAGCGGACTTAACACCCTAGTGACCGGCTTCAAGCACGTGAAAGTGCGCACCCCAACACGCGTCTATGACTTCCTATTCATCGCTTGCGCCTCAGTGAGAGTGGATTGTTGGATTCTTAAAGCAGATCTGAGCATATACAACATGGTATCCATGCTGCTGTGCTGCACAAGTGCATCGTCTCCAAATGCTTGTTTGTACCTAGGCAACTGGCGCTGGTTGATCCATGCTCCCGGGGCTGTCTTCGTCATCACCGCACTCTTACGTGAGACCTTCTTCCTACTATACCACCATGACTTAAGAAGTTACCTGAAGGTAGCAACGCTTCTTCATCTTCAATTCTCACCCATACCACATAAAGAAACGATACCGTTCAATCAACCGAGCGCCCATGATGGTGCAATGGTTGCGCCTTGCCTCGCTGCTACCTTGCGCGCTAGCTCTCAGAGCCAGTGAACCGCCTCATCACGCAAGACAGGTCGCTATCATAGGTAAGAGCACATTTCTAGAAGATGGTTATGCTGGTACTGAGTCCCAGCAGGTGCAGGTGCAGGTGGCTCATCCGCTGCGTACCATCTCGCCCAGTATGCCGCCGAGGCAGGCATTCCGACAAACATCACCGTCTTCGAACGTAACGATTACATTGGTGGTCGCACAACGACCGTGAACCCATGGAACGACCCAACGATTTCAGTGGAATTGGGCGGCTCAATCTTCGTACAAAGCAATCGCATAATGGTGAAAGCCATGGAGGAGTTCAATCTATCGGCTGCCGGGCACGATCTCGCAGCCCAAATGGACATGCCTGATCTGGGCATCTGGAATGGACGTGAATTTGTTATCGTGACAAAGGCCGGAGACACTTGGTGGGATAAGGCGAAGCTGCTATGGAGATACGGTGCTGCGCCACTTTGGACAAACAGGTTGATGAAGAGTGCTGTGGGCAGATTCTTCCAGATGTATGATGAGCCAGTGTTTCCGTGGAAGAGCTTGGGCGACGCTGTCGAGCGAGTGGGGTTATTGGAAGCCACTGGAGTGACGGGAGAACAGTATCTCAAAGCAAACGGCATTGGCGAGGCGTTCTCGAAGGAGATCATCCAAGCTAGCACTCGTGTCAACTACGCTTCGAATCTGCCCTACATTCACGGCTTGGAGACGATGGTATGCATGGCAACAAATGGAGCAATGCAGATCGAAGGAGGCAATTGGCAGATCTTCGCGCATATGTTGAAGGCCTCTCGCGCCAATGTTCATCTCAACACCTCTATCGCCAGAATCTCCAAGCAACAGGATGGCAGCTACGAAGTCACTACAGCTGCCGGCCAGACCTCCGTATTTGACGAAGTTGTCCTCGCAGCACCTCTTCAGTACTCAGATCTTGATATCCATCCTGCGCCACACCACGTCCCTGATGAGATACCTTATACGAAGTTGTATACCACTCTTTTTGCGTCACCTTTCAGGCTGGATCAGAAAGCATTCAATCTAGATGCAAAGACGCCTGTGCCACAATACGTCCTTACTACGCTACCGCCAGCTGAGATCCCAGTGGATGGCGCCGGCTCGCCCAGCTTCTACAGTATATCCGTATCCGATGCTGGCCTCAACCCAGAGTCGTCTCCGATTCGATTTGAATACATCTACAAGATCTTCTCACCCTTCCGTGTCAACGCCACATTCCTCTCCCACATCCTTGGCCAAGATGTCTTCCCCGAGGAAGCCGAACACGGTAATGTCAACGGAACCGTGAGCTGGATTCATCACAAGCTTTGGTACTCGTACCCGAGAGAATACCCGCGTGTGACATTTGAGGAGATCAAGCTCGACGATGGCCTGTGGTATACTAGTGGTATTGAGAGCTTTATCAGCACTATGGAGACAAGTGCATTGAGCGGGAAAAATGTTGCTAGATTGATCAAAGATGAATGGGTTGCCCAGGGACTTGATGACAGTTATTCGAAAGCTCGGAAAGATGGCGCCGACGATGAGCAGTATCAACAAGAGCTATAAAGGTCGCGCTTTACCAATGCCAACGCAAGCCACGATGTTTTAAACTCTAAAGAAGTGCATGAGAACTGCTACGCCAGAAATGGCACCATTACTGCTAGAGCAGCCACTTCGGCGAGGTAGCAGCACAGACGCTACGTTTCAGGCGTACTGTTTGTCCAGCCAGGTCTCTGGACGCGCGACATTGGTCGCTAGCACCAAATCTGGCGAGGCTGCTCTTCTGCTAGTCATGCTCGACATGCCTGGTGCCTTTAATTGACACTGTTAGCTATCTTCCTGACCATCTCAGACCAATCGGCTCGGGTACCGCTGCGTGAAATCTGGAACGCTAGATGGTCTGAGATCTACGACAGCCACGCGAGATAGCCGACGATCCGACGTTTTCCCTTAGCACCAGATAGAGGGCTAGTCGTGCGTTGACCTTGTTGGCGTATTCTTCGTTTTGTATGAATGATTGTATCAAGTCTTGTTGCTATCTGACGACTTAATTGTCAACATCTATGTCAGTTTCTGCTTGCCCCTCTTCATTCTTATCTCATGATGACCATGAGCCCACTAATTAGCCACACGCTACAAGAATAAACTCGCATCAAGATCTTGAGAAAGGCGCATGAACGAAGCTAATCAACCATCCGCTGAACTGGTCGTCTGGCCTGTGTGTGGCGCTCCCATAGGGCCTTGGGTTCACCCCCAACGGAACCACGACGATCCCCCGGACGTCCTTCCGCCATTAACATTAAACTTCCGAAATTTGCACTAATCACCACGCAGACGAAGTCCCTTCAACCCTAATAGAAGGAGTGGCGTGACTAGCCAGGGCTGTCAGTGTACAAGATTCGATGGCGCACACTCGAGCCTTGTCCTGCTTGAGTGCGGCTCCGTTAAAGGGTCAATTGTACATGGGCTTCCTATTTCTCCCTGTTGTACCCTGGGCTGAGGCTCGTGAACTGGCTCGTGTGCTTTCATTCCTGTTTCGTCGTTATCATACGATTTCTTACTTGCCTGCCTGTTTGCGCCATATCGGATTACTGTAACTTGCAATACCTTGATCGACTGTGAGGTGAAGATACAAAACAACATCGCGATCATGGTAGCACAAGACTATGTACCTGCGCTGGTACCGCGGGCTGGAGAGATTATTAGCATCATGTTACAGATCAGCACATTTGGTGTACTCTCCGTTTGCATAAGTAAGTCGTAGCTTGTCGATGCTGCCGAGAAGAAACAGAAATTCTAACAGCGTGTAACAGTGCGACGAACACAGTTTATTCAGAAATGGGCTGCACTTCCTTTGGCGATGTGGTGTAAGTGCAACACGATACATGCTTACGAGCATCCTGGGAAAGTATATGACGCTGACGGCCTAAAACAGTAATTCTCATCATCTACTGCGACTCGGCGTTATTCGTATTTGCAACTGCGATTGTGGTTCATGGCTTTGGTATCAACTCCTCGCCGCAAGTGTGCGAAGGGGGAATCTTATTATGTAAGTGCACAACAGTGGATACATGGGAATGCTTAGAATCAAGGCTCACCACTGCACAGGTCTGATATGTTACATGACTACCAAGATTCTCATCTATTATTTCCTCGTCGAGAAAGCATATGTGGTTCGAGGGAGTATGAAGCCTCGCATGAAGACGAAGCTGTGGCTCTTCAACTGCCTTTTCATGCTGTTACCATACACCGTCTTTGTCATTATGAACTTCATCTTCCGAATCACCTACATCAACGACTCCGGCGTGTGCATAATCGGTATGCAAAAGATCGCTATGCTTCCGTTGATCACTTTCGAGGTCATTGTCAACGTAAGTATTCCCTTCTCCTCAGCTGGCTTATATCGACACCAGAAACTGATCTAAATTCAGGTCTACCTGACCGCCCTCTTCATCATTCCCGTCCGAAACCTCTACTCTTACAAGCACAACGCAAACCCTACGCTCCACCGCATGGCCAAGCGCTCGCTCATCGGCTCCCTTGCTACCCTCACCACCTCCGTCATCAACCTGACCATACTCATGGTATTAAAGGGTGAACCAGGTTGGATCTGCCTTATGTGCTGCAACGCCGATATCTTGTTCTGCGTAATAGTCCTACACTGGGTCACATCGAAAGACAAGCAGACAGTGACTACAGACCCGCACAGCGGTTACGGTAACGGCACGATCGGCTCAAGAAGCGGCACAAGATCCGACCAAAGACGGAATAGCAAGATGACCTACGGAGAAAGAACAAACGAAAAGAAGACCGAGATCATAACTATCAAAGGAATATCTGAAAATTCCCAAAACTCCAACAGCATCAACAGCACCAACGCTTCCCGCAACAATAGTGGTAGCAGCTCCCGTAGGCCTAGTCTCAACGTCTTCCCTACCGTCATGTCCAGCAACCCACATCATCGCCCTCAGACCTCACCGCGGCTCATGCCTTCTGGTGTCACAACGGAATGCAAATCTTCGTCTCCTACGCAAAGCAGGCTTCGTGCCCCGAGCCGCGGTCTGTACCGTACGCCTACGCGAGAAGAGTTTGGCGATGAGGTTGAGCTGAACAACATCAGAGTTGAGACTATTCACACAAGAGAAGTGGAGATTGAAGATGACCGGAGAGAGCGGACGGAGAGTGTGAGGAGTGATGGGGAGGAGTGGGTTGGGCATGAACGGAGGGTTGTTGGTGAGGGAGTTGTTTGATCTTGACGAGTAATGTTTGTACAGCATGGTCTTTTCAAGTTTGTTGATGCGTTTTATACCTCTCATTTAGCATTTTCGGGTCAGGGTACCAAAACTAGATATGCGTATACCAAAGTCAGAAGACATCACATTCACGCCGTTTTCACAGTTTATGCGTCGCAATGGGAATCCAAATGTGACCCGCTCCATGAAAAAGCCAGATTCTATAATTGTTTGACCTAAAGAGAAAGAACAGAGATCTCTTGAACGCCATGATTGACAAATGAATCAAACAGCGCACTGTCACCATCATGCTATGAAGTGGAGGATCTCTGAACCATCAATGACACGCAAGACTCACATTATCGTTCTCGCAACCTTCCCCTCTCCCCCTTCTTGAGCAACTGCCTTCCTCTTCTCCACCCTATGTTCCAACAACCTTTCCATATCGCGGACTAGCTTTTGCCCATGTGTTTCGTGGCCTTCGACACATCGCATATATGTGGAAACGTCGTCAGCAATCCGTAGAGAGTGTTTGACGAGAGCTAGAACGCCGCGGCGTATGTCTCCCGGTGAAACATTTTCTTCGAAACTATCGGTATCGTACTCCTCATTGTGCGAACGGGACTTGGGATCGCCACGGTTCTTAGATGTTAGGTATTCTGAAGTATCTTTAGGAGCGTAACCTTTTCCTGCGCGAGATGATGCAGGTGTCTTCGCGGGGAATGCAAGCTTCATGGAAGGTTTCTTAGGTGGCATTTTGGCCTTGTCCTTATCTTTTGTTTCGACGGCACGCGTAGCTTTCTCCGATGGTGACTCATTTAAGTTCGAGGCTTTTCTTGTTCTCTTGCCGTCGATTATGTTCTGAAGGTTGGTAGGATCACCGAATATCTCATTGGGCAGGACAAGAGGATGATCTATGTACACATAGCCCTTAATGGACTGCGTACCGCTCGATCTAGGGCCTGTCTTGTCTCTTGATGATGATTTTCCAGCGTTCGCTTGGCTGTAGTCATGAGTTGCAAAGGAGACTGTCTCGCTGCTGCTGGGCTTTGCCATGATGGCGTGGGGAGTCCCAAAATTTGGGCACTGGAAGATGGATACGAAATTGAAGTTTCTTTGATGTAGTAGAGAAAGTAGGTGGTATATTCAACAGACTGCTGATAGGAAGCGTGAAAACCTGAACGTATGAGTCTTGTGAAGAATGTGGAGCGGCGCGGACTTGTCGTGAGTCTTTCCATTGTGTAACACGACAACTCAGAATGAGAAGGACCTCGTTCTTAGCGAGTTGTACCCAGCACTCAAAATCTACCTTAAGGTATCAATATCTTGTGTCTTCTGCTATATTAGCAACAAACACAGCGTATACCTTGGAAGTGCGATATAGCTGGCCAGGATACAACGAGCTTTCCCCATGTCTTAACTGATACCATCGGAGCAAAAATGACAGCGTGACAGCAATGGCATGCGTTTGATCTTGGACCCTCCATAATATTTTTTACACATTTGTAGCATGTTGTACAATGTCGCTCAAGAATGCAACCCCCATGACGTTCTAACCTGGATCCTTATTTCTTTGCAGCTGGCTTCTCAGGCGTAGATGCAGGCGCTTTGGCAGGTGGTGACTTGGTGGCATCGGTCGGTTTTCCTGGCGGCTTGCCTTGGCTGCTGATGAGATCTAGAAAATGGTCCTCCGTCTGCTTGCCCTGTAAAAGAGTCAGCAAAAAACTAGTCGAGATATAACTTGTTGCGCTCTTCCTCGTCCACCCACCTTTTCAGCATCAGTTTCAGCATCCCATGCTCGGCCAAACTTTGTTCTGAAAGAGGCCAATCTTCCAGCCTCGTCCTCCTCGACGTTCAGTAGTTTCTGTGAACTCGGATTCCATAGTGGCGAGTTCCGTATATCCTTTGCGCTCTTGTATACTGGCTGTGGATTCGTGGTTCGTAGGGTAAATGAGCTGCCGTCGGAGAGGGTTATAAGTTGGGTGAAGGTGTAGGGTCGCTTTGGCCGGCGGAGAAGCGTCGCATGTCGTACTTGGGTCGTCTGATGTACCTGAGGCTGTATCGATTGTCGGAGGACGCGCAGTGCGCTCATCGAGGGGACTGGAGACGCCATGGTTGTGTGTGCTGGGCGGGCGTTGAAGTTCGGCAGGAAAGTTGCGGAGAAGAGACGGAGGTTAGCCTTGGCCGATCTAACATTTCCACTACAATGCGCCCGCTCCGTCATTCCCAGCACATTGCTCTCCCACAGTCGTGTCTTGTCCAACGGCACTGTCCTATTCGTCTCTGGCCTATGTAACAAATGTGTAACTTCTTGCTGTGAACATGGCGCTTTCACAGCGCCCGGCTTCGCGCTTTTTCGCCGCCTTCTACAGATGGAATCAACATGCCCGTTAGTTTTCCACATGGCATTACTACATGCATGCTAATTGTCTTCTTAGAACGTTCAAGGCCATGCGCCTCTGCCTATCGATACACTCCCCACGACACACGTTCCCGCAACGCCATCTGTGCCCCACGATACTATAATGCGACTCGTCTGTTGCAACAAGACAACATAGCAGGCACGCAGAAAACTGCACAAGAACAGGATGCCCCGATTGACTTCTCCGAGTCGGAGTTGGAGCAAGAGCAACTTAAGAATTCGGTGCGTGGTTTGATGCGTGATGTTCCGAGCTCCGTCGCAGTTCTTACCGTTGCGAGTATCGATCCAAAGACCAAGAAACACGTCCCTATGGGTGTTGCTGTTTCTTCACTCAGCACTGTCAGCCTGGACCCGCCTACTATCTCCTTCAATATCAAACAGCCCTCCAAAACCTTGGATGCCATACGGGCGACTGACGGCCTCTTCCGCGTTCATTTCCCCGCTGCAAATAGAAGCGGCGCGAAGCTTGTGGATCTGTTCTCCCGAGGGAACCATCCAGATGCTTACGATCTGCGATCCAAGCAGCTCAAACTCCATCAACCCATAAAGAAAATACAACATAGTATTCCGTCGTCCCTCGCACCGCAGGTCCTGGCAGGGTATGTACGGGCTGCAATGGAGTGTGAAGTTACACACGAGTTTCCCGTCGCAGACCATGTTATCCTGGTCGCAAAGGTTAATGACCTAGAGCAGAAGACTGCGAAGGGTCCCGCAATCATGTACATTAACGGGGAATACCGGAGCCCAGAAGGCAAGAGTGTCTACGTCGCTGAAAACGCTCAACCTTCCGCAGCTAGCGCAGATATTGCGTCAGTGTGGGAATATCCATTGTTCCCAGGAGAGAAAGAAAGACGTCATTACATGGAACAAATCAAGGCCATCATCAGAAGCACTCCCGCTTACTACAAGGATCCATCTAGAGAGACCTCCAGGACCATCAACATTAACTTACCATACCCTCCTGCAGATTTCGGGATTGATCTAGAGCTTCTAATCGCAGAGTGCCGGCAAGAAATGGGTCTCGGAAGTCCACTGAGGCCTGGAGCTGAGGATAAGCAGGTCTTGAGTGAATTCTACGGGGTGCTAACGCCGTCAATGAGGGATCGAATCGTTGATCGGGCAAAGAAACTGGTAGCACTGGATGAGCGATACCTATCTCAACCTTATCGATCGTTCTTGTTCAACTTGGGCGTCAATCCCAACAGCAAAGACTTCCTACCAAGCGACATCATGAAGCCTTTACGAGCAGCAAACCTTGCACCGCGCTTCAAACAGGATCGAGAACAAGTGATTGGTGAAACAGAAGACATTATAAAAGCTGAACAGATTGAACACCGTCTGCGAGAGCACCTTCGATCAATGAAGTACGAGGACGCACGGAGGGAACCATTTGAAGTGGCTATGGAAGCTATTGGCGAACGAAAGGGGGCAGCCATGCATTTCAAGAAAGCACGGGCACGGTTACTTACCCAGAGCCACCCTACGCTTTTCGATGCTTCAGCCATAGACATTACTGGAGAAGTGACAGAAGAAGAACTTCGTGTGGTCTTGTGCCGCCTTATCAACTACCTAAACATCAAGTCTCAAATACACTTTCGACAAAACATCGAACGCGACCCGCGTGAGTTGTTGCGCCGAGTCCGCGTGGACCCTACTATTACGGGTATGGATATCGAGTTTCTGGTGGGCAAGATCAAGCATTTGTACCTTTCGACAAGAACATATCGAGACTTTCTTTTCGCGCTTGAGGAAACACTGCGACCTTGGTTTATTTGGAACGTGAGCTGGGACGATCTGGAAGAGCGAGTCAAGCATTTCGTCCAGAGCACTCCACTGAGGGCTATAGCTTGGTCAGCAAAGGGTAGGCTTGCTGCTATGGGTCTGCACTGGGACGCTACGGTTACGCTACCAAGCAACAATTCATCTAAGCAGGTGACTGAACAATCGCTTCTTAAAGGCGTTATTCTGGACACTCTCGTAGCAAAGGAGCTAAAGAATTACTATGGTAGTGGCACAGAGGAAGAGAATCAGGCTATCGCCAAGTATCTGAAGGAGACGTACAGCTTTGACGTCACACACAAACCGATGCAATACACATCCGCAGCCTCCGACTCTCAATCCTCAGCTGATGAGATGCAACAAGCTATGGCGACGACTCTAGAAACTTCTCAGGAAGAAGCTTGGTTTGACGACGGTGAACCAGGACAGCCGCCTGCGGCACAGGATGGCGCAACTCGTCGCAAGGCAGGTTGGACACGGAGAATCCGGAGGATAGAAGGAGACCGGAGTTTGAGAATCACGCGATTACCCGGCAAGAGTAAGCGCATCGAACACGGAGATAACAAGTAGCAAGGCAGGAAGCTTGGAGCACAGATTCCTTTCACTAGAGGAAGGGGTTCGTAATGTGATTCTAAGCTCCGATTGTATGGTCGATTTGTATACGATACCCAATGTACGCGATTTGCATGGAACCGGGAAACTATGGACAATGGGCAATAATGTACTATATCACTCTCTTCAGCCACAGCTTAGCACTATATTATCGAATTGACCTTGGAACAACACCCAAGTGAATTTCCGATCACGTGACTTCGGTCACGGATTAACCTTAGCCCGTGCAGCCTGAAGCTCGATCGCAATTTCCTAGTCGGAGCTTCCCCGCGAGTATACATCGCGCCGCAGCAACGATACCGACTATAATTACCAATCGCAAGATACCGAGGCACACATTTCAAACTCCAATACTCCATAGTTCGGATAACAGCGACCATGAAGCTCGTCAGGTGAGCTAGTCGTCAACTTTTGTTAGACTAGCAGCTAACGCTTCACGCAGGTTTCTTATGAAGTGTCAGAATGAGACGGTCACAGTCGAGCTCAAGAATGGTAAGCAGCGTGTCTCTTTCTTGTCGCTCCTTGGCTTCGATCGCGTCGTTGTCTGGCCGAAGTCGCTTCTCTGGCGAGCGCGTCAATCCTTGAGTTGCGCAAGCACGCTTTCGCCTCGATTCGGTGTGCTATCACTTTACAGACGTGTGTTTTAACAGAACGACAGGCACTATTGTAAACGGCACCATCACCTCCGTCTCACCGCTCATGAACGTCGCGCTCCGAGCAGTCAAGTACACGCCCAAGTCTCGCGACACCGTAGCTCTCGACACAATGACCGTCCGCGGTTCCACAATTCGCTACATCATCCTTCCCGACTCATTACCGCTCGACACACTTCTCATCGACGATGCGCCAAAGCCTAAGAATAAGGCAAGGAAGGAGGTCGGTGGTGGTGACCGTGGTGGAAGGGGTGGTGGCCGCGGAGGCGGTCGCGGTCGTGGTGGAGGTGGTCGCGGAAGAGGCGGTGGTGGCAGGGGACGTGGACGAGGTTTCTAGGTGCGGAGAAAGACGACAGAGATTGAAGGCCAAGAAAACCACCTGCAGATGCGCATTGCAACATCACAAAATGACTTGGAGTTGTGCCATGGATTCGGGGAAATTGAGATTATGGGTTGCCGCGCACCAAAGACACCAAATTTTGACGCGCAATAGGATCACTATCCGATCAGCTACACGAGCAGAGATAACCAGGATGCGCGGCGTCAGACACAAGGATTGGTGCGAAAGCTGCGCCTCGAGAGAAGAATGATACCACATTGAAACGCAATCATCCCGCGGGTTTTGCATACTTTCTGACTTGTTCTTTATGTACACATTCACTGGCTACTTACAAAGCTAGATACGTGCAAACCGTCTTCAACAAGCGACTACTCCGCATCGTAAGGCGCAACCGGCGGCGTGTCGTTGACCTGAATTCCACCCCTCTTCTTTTCCCTACTGTCGTGGAAGGGCAACTTCCATCCGCCCTCGCCCTCGGGTGTGCTCAGCCATAATCTCATCAAATGTCTCCTCGGTGCTGGCGGCGCATAGTCCTTGTACGCTGTCCTGGCATGGAACACATGGTTGTTGGAAAGGAACTGGATATCGCCTACATCAAGAATCATGTGCAACGCAAGCTTCTGGCATGTCTCTTCAAGGATAGTAATGGCGCGTTCTTGTGCTTCGGAAAGAGGCGGGATTTGACCCGCGTCCGAGAAACGGGTCAGAGAACGGACAAAGTAGGGATCAAATCTATTTTTGCTTGTGTCAGCTTGCGGCTCTGAAGAGTTGGGAATTGTCTGGTTGCTTTGCTTACTTGCTGTAGACTCTTGGGTTGTCGCCCGTCTCGAGATAGTACACGGCGGTTTTGATCCATTCCTTCTGTCCTACGCTTGTCTCGCCCTTGCGGTCGAAGTACCAGATGGGCTGGGTTAGTAGTTCGGCGACATCTGGGTGATTCTTTTGAAGCTCGTTCCATACTGAGTGGCTGCTAACCTGTGCAAGAGATTGTAGTTAGCAAAATGCGTACCAGACCAGTGACGGGTAATTTCAACTTACAAGATCAGACTCCCCTCCTTCCAACGCCTTGGCCACACACAACAAGCCCACGAGATCCGAATCATCGGCATGGAAATATTGCCTCGCGTTCGTCCGGTAAATCCTCACTTTATCAATTGCCGTCGCGTCCTCACCCAAATCCTTGACATGCCCAAGCACATGGCCCCGACTATTCTGGCTGACAAAGTAGCCCAAATATGTGCCCAGACCCATATATGCGACCGCGGATTTTTGATTCCCCCATTGCTCAACAGGCATACCTTTGAAGA